CTAATCATCCATAAAAAAAAGCCAGATACTTCCAGCCAACCTGTTAACAAAAACTACATCAAAACACTACTAGTAGCAAAACTCTGCTATTTGATCTCATGAATAACTAAAAGCGGTACGGGGGAATACTCAAAGCACAAAACGAGTGTGGGAACTCAAAAAAGAAGCTGACAAGCAGCACAAATGCAGTAGTGTTGTATACATGCACTAGCAGATACGCATATATAGTAGGAGAACAAATCCATCAAATGGATGTCTGTCATCAAATTAAAGGGGAGTTACAGTAACATCAAGCAGATCTAACAAAGTCAACCTGTGCTGGATTCTAAAATAAAACACTTTTCAAATATAATTTAAGATAGCATTTAAAAATGCCCATTGAAGAATTCATAATTTTGCAATAAAACAAGACAGTATTGAGTCAGGTGTTTTCAAAAAGTTTAACAGGCACAAATATTTTTAGATTCCCCTGGTAGTCTCAGCTCTCCACACTGCAGAAGGCTGCTCTACTCTACTGGGTTAACTATTGCTGTGCCGGTAAGACTTGAAAATCTTTTAACACATAAACCCCGCCTCCGTAAGCCAATTAATGCATCCCCAACATTTACAATGCCTCAACCCACATCCTTTGGGAAGAGAAACAGGAATTCTCCCACATCTCACCTTTATGTCCTATTACTAATTAAAAAAAAAAAGGTGCTGGAGGTTGATATATCTGCACACGATTCTTACCTCCGCTTCCTCATTCCACTGATCCGTTTCCACAGGGCACAGGCCATGATTAATCTAAAAGGCTCCCAACAGATCCTTCTAAGGTGTTGCAACAGCTCCGTTAACTGCAAGGCACTCTGCAGTGAATACCTCTTCTCATGGAAACGCCTGACTAGCACTGGTAGCTGAGTCTCCTTACGTTTCTGAGAGAGACGCGGCTCCTACTGACACCCCAGAAGCACCCATTTGGAAGCAAAAAGTTTTATGAAACCCATTACTGTGCGTAATTACACAAGGCTTCACTTCTCTGCAAAAGCTGCACTGAGTTTAGGAATCTGACATAGCCTTTGCGTGGCGGCTGACAGGTGAAGAGAGTTACAGCTGTGCCCATGAACACCAGCAAGCTTCTGGTGCTAATCCACCAGAACTGGGAAAGCCGCTTTCAGTTCTGGGTGAATGGGTTTGCCCTGAAACCACGTGTCAATCTCAGGATAATTTTATCAGAAGACTTCTGACCTCTCCCATCAGAAGCAGGCTGTCTGCTTCCTACTCAGCAGTGCCCTATCAAGTCACTGCCTCCGCTCCTCTCTGCTCCGTTGGAAGGCTTGGAAGAGCTGTTAGTCCCACCACATGGAACAGTACATCTCCCCGACCAACACTGGCACCAAGGGAACAGGCCAGGTCTTTGGCACACAGTAGACAGCCTCATCAAAAATTGAGAGGGATGCTCTGGACACCAGCAATCCAAGCCATTTCAGCTCTGGTTTATTCTTGTTCTTGGCCAATGGCCTGTTCTACAACATGAGCCTGGCTCCACAGGCAAGACCGAAGCATGGACAGCATCATCCCTCTCAGGCTTTGCGAGTGTCCTGGTGACAGGGAGGAATATAGAGACACTGATTGAGTGTGCAAGGATGAGTTTTGGAAGGGACATGGAAAACAGTGAGGTACTCAATGCCTTCTTCATCTTGGTCTTTACTGGTAAGATTTACCTTCAGAAGTCTGAGGTCGCCAAGACGAGTGGGAAAGTCTGGAGCAAGAAAAATTTACCCTTGGTGGAGGAGGATCAATAAATAAATAAATTGGAAAAAAACACAGGTTGATCAAACCTGATGTGACGCACCCAGGAGTGCTGAGGGAGCTGGCTGATGTCACTGTGAGGCCAACCTCAATTATCTTTGAAAGATCATGGCGACCGGGAGAAGCTCCTGAGAAGTGGAAGAAATCAAATGTCCCTCCTATGTTTAAGAAGGGCAAGGATCCAGGGAACTACAGATCAGTCAGCCTCACCTCTATCCCTAGGAAGCTGATGGTATCTTCCTGGATACCATTTCCGAACGTATTAAGAACAAGAAGGTGATGGGGAGTAGTCAGCATTGATTTATGAAGAGGAAATCATGCCTGACCAACCTGATAGCCTTCGAAAGTAAGATGACTAGGTTGGTGAATGGGAGGAGAGCAGTGGATGTTGTTTATCTTGACTTTAGTAAGGCCTGTCATGCTCTCGTAACATCCTCAGACAAGCTAAAAAGTGCAGGCTGAATAAATGGACAGTGAGGTGGATTGAAAACTTGCTGAATGGCTGGGCTCAGAGGGCTGCGACCAGCCGTACAAAGTCCAGTTGGAGGCTAGTCCCTTAACGGTGTATGCCGGGGTAAATCCTGGGTACTGGGCCAGTACCATTTAACATCTGGACAATAAGGCAGAGCGCAGCCTCAGCACATTCGCAGCTGATACAAAATGTGAAGGAGAGGTTGCTACACCAGGTAGTTGTGCTGCCATTCAGAGAGACCTCAACAGGTTGGAGAAATGGGCCAACAGGAATGTCATCAAGTTCAGAAGGAAATGCCAAGTCCTACAGCCACTAAGGAACAACCCCCAGCACCAGAACAGGTTGGGGACCGGCCAATGGGGAAAGCAGATTTGCAGAAAAGGATCTGGAGGTCCTGGTGGACACCAAGTTGAACATGAGCCAGCAACGTGCCCTTGCAGCAATGAAGGCCAACAGCTTCCTCGGCTGTGTCAGGAAGAGTATTGCCAGCAGGTCAAAGGAGGTGATCCTTCCTCTCTATTTCATGCTGTTGAGATCACATCTGGGGTGCTGGGTCCAGTGCTGGGCTTCCCAGTACAAGAGAGATGTGGAGCAAATCCATCACAGTGCTGTGAAGATGATTAAGGGCCCAGAGGATCTGTCATACGAGGAGAGGCTGATAGAGCTGAGATATTCAGCCTGGAAATGAAAAGGCTGAGAGGGAATCTTATCAATGTGTATAAATACCTGAGAGTGTCAGGAAAGCCAGGAACTTCTCAGTCATGCACAGGAGAGGGACTCGGGGATGGGAAATTGCATTTGAACGTAATGAAATTTTTTTTTTTACTGTGAGGGTGACTGAACACTGGAATTGGTTACCCAGAGAGTTCATGGATTCTCCAACCCTGAAAAGACTCCAAATCGAACTGGGCACAGTCCTGAGAAACCAGCCCTATTTGACCCTGCGCTGAACAGGGGGATTAGACAAGATGATCTCCAGGGGTCCCTTCCAACCTCATCCTTCCTGTGATTCTGAAAAATGATTTAAACAGAGCTACTAAACCACCTTTTACAGAAGGAAACAGTAAGAACTGGTGACTGTATTTTCTAGGTTATTGCTGGGGTGTGGATTCAATCTCTTGTTAATTAATTCATAGCAGCTGCTGACAATTGCTATATAACTGTATGTTTTATTTTAAGTTAAAAATGCCAAGATTCTTCAATAAGCAGTTTTTAAATATATGTAGCATAAACAGAAATAAGTAACATGCAATTTAAAATTAGATTTGGCATCTTTACATCAATCCTCCTCCTTCCTTGTATGTGATTGCAACTAAAGATGTCTGCCCAGAACAGATTACACCACCTTTGTAGATAAAATGACTGTTCACAAAGGGAAGCTTCCAGCATAAATTATGTGTAGTATGAGTGTCTTGAATCACTTCAAGCCTAACGAGAAGTACCTCCAGGAAATTCTGTTGCATTCACTGGGAGTGAAGACGTACTGTCTGAAGCTCAGGTTTTCTTTTATGGCCATACACAGCACCATTTTTCTGACAACACGGCCTCACAACGAACCAGCTTTTGCTCTTTATCGACAGGATGGCTCTTCCATTTGCCACTCTGACAGTATTTCAGACTGTACGTTTCAAAGCCATGTGCAAGCAGATCACAACACCCAAATGAGGTGACCAGACCTGTACCCATGTGGCTGATCTCCAGCTTTACTTATTTCAATGGCAAGAAAAAATACGATGTCCAGAGGAGGTCCCAGGACAGAGGGGCTTCTCCTTGCAAAGCTGATCTATGAAACTGATTTGGGGCTGGCAAACTGTCTCCAAATCATAACGACGGTATCTCTAGCTCCACGATATCAGGTCACTGCTACACTAACCTTACATTAAATACTGAGATGAGATATTCAGAAAGGCATCAGATCTGGTCCAAGTCTCTGCCTGCCCTCCGATACGGTTCCTGAAGGGCAGGAAGGATGACAGGCTGTTAGCCCAGCAGTCCGGCTGCTTTTGAAGGACATTTGGGGATGAATGCACTCAAGCTAGCTTAAGTTAGCTTAAGGTGCCTGAACTTTCCGAACTGGGAACAGAGCATCCCTGGGTTCTCCTCTAAAGACGGGAGCAGAAACAGGACTTCCAGCAGCAATTCGGAAAAGCCAGTAAGATCTCTTTGATAGTGGCTATTAATATTGACTATACAAGGAGACTAAAGCAAATATGCTTCAGATAGAAGTATAAAACTGGAGAAGATGAATGCAGGCCTTGAAACTATACATCTTATAGTTAGTTGATAACAGCAGAATGCTGCAAGGAGCATGTAAGACAAATATTATTAAAACCAAGTAACTGTTTTAATACTTGAGCATTATCTTAGCATACAATTTGTTCCAAGCAAAAACACAACAGCATTACACTGAAGAGACCTTGCTATCCTGTACCATGTTATTTGCAGTCTGTGAAACAGTGAGGAATACTTGAAAACTCGCTCTTTTGACATTTTTCTAGAAATAGATGAACCACCAGGATGCTGCTTTTCACACAGCATCCCTCTTGCACACTGCGGTCATATCTGCTCCAATACAGAAGAATGAAAACAACCCCATTTCTCACCTCTCAAATGGACCAGATAATACAGAATTCAGATCAGTCTGTGTTTTTCATTAAACTGGACATGTTTACAAGTCAGATGAAGGCAATACTTGCTCAAATGACCTCCTTTCCACTGTTTGGAAGATTTATTGAAGGCAATATAGAACAGCCACAATAGTCAATCATAGGTGGCAGACTGCTCTTTTATTAGGCATACTGAAGCCAATTAATCTATGTGAGCTTTCTCCCTTTACCTCCTGGAGGCATGTGTGGTTAGAATGCATTTAAAAATTCTGCAGCAATAAATAAAGGTGCTGAAACTATTCATTTGAACTTTGAGAATTATTTACAGGCACTTGAGATGCTAAGTATTAACATTCTGCATACTCCACTGGGCAATATAATTTGACTAGATCCAAGACTTAAAAAATAAAGTTCTAAAACAAGGCTTTGTGGTCCTGCCATCCTCAGGGGTAGCAGGAAGAGAAAGGAATGCCTGCAAAAGGAGGTAAAAGCAGCAGGAACACTGAAACCTGCCTTAACCCCGAGTAAGGAAAACTGAGTTAATCAGAAGTCTTCAAATAAGGTTGCAAGGGAAGGTAGGCTACTGAACCAGGTGCACATTTATAGCACAGAAGTAATCAATTACTGGAATTTATTTCTAGATGTCAGATTATCTGTGATCTATAGGAGATACTAAAGGCCATTTGAGGTGAAAAGCAAGTCTATAATGATCTTATTAATTATGAAACATCAAAACCCAAGATGTCTTAATTCATGTTCTCATTTTTGCAGTCCATGTGCTTCCAATTAGAACTGCTGTAATACATTCTCTTGGGAGGCATATAAGAAAAGTGAGTAACTTTTTAGTAGGGGCTTCCTCTTTCAGGGCACACACTTAAATAATCCTTTATTCTTGGATTACCTCAAACATCCTCCTCAGATTACCTTCATCGTAAATTCAGTTCTACTCTTACCAGTTTCACAGCTGGGCCCAGTGAAGCCTTGTGGGCAGGCACACACGTTGGAAGCAATACAGGCTCCTCCGTTCCTACACCCGTCTTTGCAAAATGCTGCAAAATGCAAAATCACAATATATGGGTAACAGAACGACACTCAGCAACCGCGCAGGTGGCTGCTGGCAGCCTGACGCGAAACGCGGTCCCCGCGGCACCGACTGCAGAGACGGCCTTCTCCCAAGGACAGAGGTCACGAAGAGATGGTTTATGGCCCCCCTGCCTTGCTGGCCAGATGGGCTGACAAGCTACAGAAGGAGATTAGAGTAAATCATCCGAAGACAACAGCTCACATATGCGCTCCTACCCATGCGCTGGGAAGCGGTGAAAGGCAGCATCTTCCCTAGGCACAGACTCTTGCTAGGGCAGTGCTGGTCTTCTCTGCTGCCCAAATAAAGGCCTGGGCATAACAGGCACAGCTGAACACTAAATTGTCTGGCTACCTTATTCCTTCATTAAGCAATTAGATCAAAACAATAAAAATAGTAATTTTGTCTCAAGGGATTCTGAAGAACTTAAAAACTTTTACCATTTACAGTTTGAAGTGGATCCCTGGATTTGTTCTTTGGCATGCTGCAGAGAAGCCGTGCTTACATAGTTTGGTGCAGCATTCTCCAGATACAGATGTGAATACGTGTATGCTTTAAAGAGTCCCTTCTGCAGACACAGAAACGCAACCAGCTCCGACAGAAAACACGGCAGCTGTTAATTGCTCTGATTGCATCCACAGCAAGAAACCGCAGGTGAAACCAGGCAGCCGGAGGTTATCACCACCATAAAGCGTTGCTCCGGGCACTGGTCTAGCCCTGCACTTGCAAGCAGCCACTGGAGATGCCAGGCTTCGGTTTGCAGCTGCTCTCTGTAACAGCACCACTGATGAGGTCTTAAGGCTCATCTGAGAGAGAACACGAGTGTTATCGATGTGAGCTTTCCAGCTCTATTTCCAGGCACCAGCCTTGTGGCGTGGGACCTCCGGCACCGAGTGAGACATCTGAGGTTCCCGGTGCAGGGTGACAGCGGTGCACGGGAGCACGGCTGGCAGCACAGGGCATGAAACGCTGCCAAAGGCATGGGGACAAGAGGCGCATCCAGGTCTCTCTGAAGGATGCTGGCATCCAAGCCAGGGCTGCAGAAGTACATTTCTCAGATTGCAATACACAGGGCTCAGAGCCTTCTCCTGCACACTGGTTTTTCAGTATTGAAAAGGGAGGGGTGCACCTTTCTTTCACAGTGGGGCCACGTGCCCTCTGAAATGTCAGATCTGCAGTCAGAGCTCTTATTCAGGGAACAGAAGAGCTGAACACGGTGCTCTAGGGTTATCCACCTTCTCTTTGACCCAAAAAAGATCTCAATTACTTTTTTGTAAGCTGACAGAAGGATTGGGGAATACTCCTAAGGCCAGAACAGGAATGCGCTGCGCAGACAGAGCTCTCTTCGAGAGGAGTGGCTTTGGGTCTGAACCTCCTCAGGCTAAGACTTTTTAACCATTCCACAGAGGAGGGAGCCCAGCATAAAAGGGCGATTTGCTGACATCTCTCCCTCTACCCATGTGTTTGACTGGAAGTGGACTAGGCAGTTGCGTTTTACGAAGAGCTTGTTTACGTTAGGAATATTTAGAAAAATCATACTGTGACTCAGGTGAAGGAATAACTAGTGCTAAGATCTTAATCAGGCTTAGCAATCAAAGAAATTCTGGGTTGCTTAGCCTTGATAATGCCCAGGAGCAGAAGGTATCTATGGGATATTACCAGTGTTAACTCCAGCCCCTTAGATTCTGACCCCTATCAGATCAAGAGGACTGAGGCATAATTTCAAGGAACGCTGGGTATGCTGTTGCTGCAGCTGGACCACTTCTCACATCTGCGCCAGTTCCCCTACAGCTACACTACTTATATTTTCAAGCATCCTCTAAATCCTATGCTTGGAGCCTGAGGACTTCTGAGGATTTGGGCCCAAGTACCAAGTATCATCTCCTCCGATGTGAAACGCAACAGAAATAAAAGCAGCATTGTATCTCTGGGAAAGCATCTTTTTAAGAGTAGGAGTGTAATTTCTCATGTTTACCAATGAATGAGAATGTTAGAAAACAAGGCACCACCTCATGTGTAGCAAACGTGTTGTGCATGCACATCTACTGCTTTTCTCATTTACAATAAAAAGACACAGCACACCAAACAACTTCCAGTTCATCCAAGCAAAATAGCAAGTGAATGACCGCAGACAACATAGATCTGCCAATATTTTCACAGCTGTAAATTTGTTGTTAACTGTGGGCTTCCTTGAATGGGGTAGCATGTATAGAAACCGTTACCTTGACACAGAAATTAAACATAATTACTTCAAATTTTAGAGCATACTATCTATGTATGCATCATCCTCAGATTACTGTGCACTCTGCCAAAGGCAAAGTCGGTGTATATCTGCCTATGAAAATCTTCTTACAGGTGCAGGACCTAACTGCCTAGCCAGCATTTTGCCTGTCTTTTTCAAGGCATGTGACCAGATGTGCATCACCTATGACAAAACATCTCATCCAGTTCAAAGGCTGCCGAACCTGGGGTTTTCGGCGGCTTACCTTTGCAGATGGTGCCATTTCCCGTGTAACCCGGCTTGCAGACACAGTTGTGCCCACCCACGGTGTTGAAACAGAGTGCGTTTTCATCACAGTTGTGCTGGTTTGTTATACACTCGTCATGCTCTGAAAAGGGAAACAAAAATGGGATGGTCCTGAATTTTTAAACCACAACAAAATAAAAGCTTTGTATAGGTTTTCACCTTAAAAAGAGATAAACACAGTAGTAGTTACTGACAATAGGGCTATGTGAACAAGTAACCATGGGATAGGCCGGGTATATATTTTCAGCCCACGCTAGTATGTGAAAACTGTGCCGCAGCATAATTCCACTTTCATTAACAGGGAGCCACCACCCTTACACTTTCTATGTGGGCTACAGCGTTCTCGTAAACATTTACCAAAGAGCCGGCTAGCATGCTGAAAATCCATATGCTACTTCTACTGTATAATTTATTCATGCAGGTTTATCTTATGTGGGATTCATAGGGTTTCCTTCAGAAAGCTGACTGATGGCGCGAGACACACGCTCCACGCTGGAAAAGATACGGCTAGCAGAAGGCAGGACTTCAAAACATAGCCCGTGCTTTCCTCCCCTTCAGTGCGTATATAGCTTTATTTATATGAAATAAATAACCTGAAAACAAAGGTCTGCCTGCTGTTCAAGGGACTTTTGGCATGGCATGTCCTAGCACCGGAGTGAAATGGATGAGACTCCTCGGTCTGGTGACTAGCCTCAGACATACTGGGAAATACCTCTCTTGGGAACAAACAAAAAGTCTGGACAACATGAGTTTGTGTTAACTTGCAAGGCACTGTTTAATCTGAAACAAAAAAAGTATTGTGTGTTTCGGTTACTGAACATTTTAATGGTTGAGTTCGTGATTTTTAAGAAATGGAAAATGCAAATTCAAAATAAGATGCTCTAAAGTGTCATTTCAAAATGCTACATGAAATACTCTTTTCAAAATATAGTATCTTAGTCTGTAGGCATCAAAACAAAATGTTTCCGTCTTCTGGAAATATTCCTTGCATTTTCTTCAAATCAACAGCATTCATCTATCCGTAAATAATTTCAGACCTCTGAAATTTTAATTTCAGGAAAACCAACTATTTGGGGAACATAAAGGCACCTAATTTCAATCAGCACACATGGGCTAACCTGCATGTGAGGCTTTCATAGCCACCATTCTGCCCAGGTCTTACCAAAGTTTATCAGGGCAGCTTATGCCCATTCTGGTGATCTGACACAAGTCTGAAGTCTGGAATCGGATCTCTTTCTTCCCCAGTTTTGGGCATGTCACACTGCTCTGAATCTTCCCCTTTATAAATAAAGAGCTGACGTCTGCACATACCGCACAGAGTTGTCAGGGAAATTAATTTCTTAACATTTGCAGATCACTATGGAAATGTTCAACTTGCTCTTTCAATACTGGCCATAAACTGTGGGAGCATAAAACTGGCAGAATGGCACATCTCTAATCCATCAGTAGATGTAAATCTTCCTCTAGTAATGGCAAGGACCTCTTGTTTAAAAGGAGGGAAAAATTCACCACAATGTAACTAATCAATGTTAAATGCTACACAGGTTTAGATTAAATTTTATTTTGTGGGTTTGTGGTGCTGTCAAGTGATTATTTGTTTGGCTTTTAATAACACTTAACCTAATATCCCTCTTCTAAACAAGGGCTTCTGTGTCTCGTATCCCCAACGCTCTCCTCAACCCCCAGCGCTTACGGAGCCGAGTCCCTCGCCGGACGCAGCAGATTTAATTACTTTGCTCTCAGCATGAATAACTAAAATTGTTATCGTTCACCAAATGATCCAGCCCCTCTAAAACCCGCTTACAATATTTGACTCTGACCTCCTAACACAGCGAAATCTCTTGTGCTGGCTGAAACAGCATTTATGCTAAACCAGTCCTTAAAATAAAAGAAGAATAAAGTAATGATCATGCAATTTAGGTAAAAATTATCTGTACTGTATTACTATCCTGGCTTTCTTAGTTTGTGTTAATATTATGATATTATTTAAATACGGCATGCTATTTAAATATTAAATATATATTATTATCTCATTTTAAAATGTTCTGTATCACTTACAACAGGAAAATAACTGTGGAAACATGCAAAACATTATGCACTCAGCAGGCCAAAATATCTTGCAAAGCCATTATCTTGGTATCTCAGGAGGCAGGATCTATAGAACAATACATCACACTGGTAAACTCAGCTCCAATCACTGAATTTGACAAATTAAGTCTCATCCTCAACGACGAAGTGTAGCCATCCACCCCATGCCTTAGGAACGAAAAGCATCCCTGGCACGTACGGCAGCTCTTTGCTAGGGATAAGGGTACATTAGGGGAAAGCAGGCGATGGCAGGCGGCCACGCTCAAAGGAGGGGTTCCCAGTGCGGGGCGCGAGTCGCTCTGAAAGCCCAGCAAGGCACCCAAGGCAAGGCACGTGCCCAGCAAACTGCCTTTCGGTACTCCGGTACAACAAGGTACTAACCATCTTTATAACGCCCTGCAGTACCGGGGCCTTGAAGACCGTTTGCACAGATGTATGTCCTTCATATAACAAGCCTGTCACACTTGAGTGTGCCTTCCTAACATTTACTCTCTGGGCTAAGAAAAACTACTGAGTCTTTTAAGATGGATTTTTCTTAAAGCGTACAGTATCAATAAAATTAACTTTCCGTCAGCTAAGTAATGGGGCTTGGATTCAAAGATGGTATGCCTGGTTTCCTACTCTGTGTAAGAAACTTCAGTGTTTCTTACCCTCCTGTAAGAAAGGTCATGGAGGATGCTTGCTGACGTTTCAGGACGAGGGTCCAGCACATAACCCATACTGTACCAAAACAGCCAGCACTTCTGCTTCTGTGGTCATCTGCTCAAACTGCAGGTCTCTTTTTATTTAAATTAAGTATCAGTGACTCATGAAAAAATTCATGGGTCTGATAAATGATTCTTGGATTGAAGTTTACGTGGTATTTTTTAGGAGGAAAACTTAAGTAAGAGGAAATTTTGTGATTCAATTAAAGGAGTGTACATTTTAAAATGATAGGAATGGAAAAAATCAGGAATAAAAGAATCAGTGTGTTTTACAGTCCATCTAGATTTGTTGCTCTGTATCATCTGAGCTTAGCTTCAATAACACACTTGAAACCATTTAAACATCATACTTCTTCATATTCCTTCTCACAGTGGCACCGAACAGAGCAGTCAGCCTACACTTCAGGACTGGCTCTTTTATGGACTGATTACAAACAGTTAAGCTACACTTGAAAAAACCCTGTACATAAAGCATCTACTCTAGCGTCTACTACATTCACTCTTCCAGCACATGGCACACTGTGCACACCAATTTAGAGACCATCAGAAACAGCTTCTTCCAGAATTCTCTATTAACAATCAGGTAGACTGTCCAGCTTTATTAAAGACAGAAATACTTATTTGTAATAAAAAGGGTGGTGCTCTGGTGATAATTCTTCATTTATTCAGGCTTATCATTTTGGCTTCTTTTTTTTAATCAAATATTTGGAAAAACACCTTAAATAAGGAGGAAACTGCAGAGATAAAGTTCAGCAATCTTAAATATCAAACCAGGAACTGTACAAGCAGATTATTTAAAGGGAACCATTAATACTTTTTTTTTTTTAAGTTCAAAAACCATTATAGCAACATCATTAGTATCATTTAGAAATGTCAGTACTGCCCAAATATATTTCTGATGCTGCAAGAAGCAACACTGAGGCCATTTATTTCAAGCATCTTTAGAAATTATGTGACACACATTTAACGGAAGTTCTATACTTATTTCACTGCATACCATAATGAAGATGGGGACAGGCCAGGTACAACAGTATTACAGAGGCAAAAAAATAAAAGTTACTTTTGCAGAGAGATTTTAATGATTAACAAACTTGAATTTGCATAAATATCTTCTATAAAGACCACATGCACTGGTTTCAATGCTTTATTATCTAGTATATCTAAATTCCATTTTGCACTATTCAGGACTCTGTGCTCAACAGTGTTAAAATTCTCAAAATCTCTGTTCTGGGAATCAACTGAAGTTTTAAATACAGTCTTTATATTGACTGAACTATCTCTGGAATGTGGTCTTTCTAGATAGAAAAAAATTTCAACTCCAAAATTTGCTATTGCTCCATGGTAATAGCAATAGTAACAGTGAGTGTGTGTGAATGTTCCATTAAATAGTTCTTATGACACAGATGACTTAGAGATGCAAAAAACTATGTGACAATGCAATTAATTCACTTATGCACATTTGGGTGTGCTGCAAATAGATTATATACACACACGAAGATATATACGCATACATACATACATATATATTTCTTCAAGACATGGTTTAGTGGGTTTAGTGGGCATGGTGGCGTTGGGCAGACAGCTGGACTTGATCTTTGAGGTCTCGTCCAACCATAACAATTCTATGATTCTATATGCACATACAGTAAGGGTGATATACTTTATCTTACTTTGGTTCACTTTGAAATACTACTCCAGAATATTCCATATGGTTTGCTTAACAAAAACGTTGGTACTTCAGGATATCTAGGGTGAAGTACCACGTCCTAGGGAGAGAGAGACTGCTAGCATAAACTGGTCAGGACCCACTAGATCCTGTGATGTATGTCAAGGCAATGACAGCTGGGGATCTGTCTTGCCAAGTTTCTTACCTGTGCAGAGATTCTTGCAGAACTTAGTAAAATTTAACACGCTCTCCACAAGGTTTGTCACGTGCCTCCTCGTTCTCCCAGCACTAGGCAACATCAGCCCCTATCTTTCCTACTGCGTAGTTCATGATTAAAAATAAACAAAAGTCCATATAGCATTTCCTACTCGCATACTGCAAGCTTTCCGAATATATGCCTTGCGCATCCAAATTCTGCACATGTCTAAGAAAAAAAAACCCAACAAACAGAATCCTAATCCAATAGCAAAAAGGAATGTTGACTGAGTTGCATCACTTACTTATGGGTAAAGAATATTATGCTGGCAGTTTTCCTGAACTATCCATTACCAACACTGGAAAATAAGAGCCGAGATCACACTTCAGGCACAGAAATGCATAAAAGTTCCCAAAAATATAAATAAA